AAATAGAAGTTAGTAGAAAGCAATCTCCCAGTGTATCTTTCTATTACACTATGCAAAGAAGAAAATTATGTTGACAAAAAGTACAGGAAAAAAATAAAAGGAATGGAAGAAATGGAAGGAAGGAAGGAAAGAAGGAAGGAAGGAAGGAAGGAAGGAAAAAGAGAGAAAGGTACAAATTTTAAACTAACACTTCCATGAGGGAAACAAAGATGAGTTTGAGAATGAACCCTCCCATTTCTCACCCTCTACATTGAGGAAGAGTAAATTGACAGTTGGCACCAACAAATCCATCTTTCAGTCTAGTCTCTATCTCAGAATATACACTTCTCTTTTCTAAATACATTCTCTTAAAAGCATGCCTGTGCTTTCTGAGGAGTAAATATACAAACAGTAGTTTGTGTAGGGTGTAGGCAATGATGTTCTTGGCTCATAAACACATGTGTCATATCACTTACTTGTAGTATTTAAGTTGGTAAAGTGTTTTATTTTGGGGGGGAGGCATGTTGTTTAATTTTTTCTTCTTTATACTGCTGTATGCTTCTGGTTTAGAGTATGCCTCACATGTTTCCTTATAACAAGTCTTAATTTGACCTAGATGGATGAGAAGTTCTACTATGCAGTGTTTAGTTTCTATTTATGATGGTAATGCACAGCTAAGATGACTGTAAAGTGTATTGCAAAAACCTGGGGCCAAGGTCTGCCTCCCCCAGATTTGGTAGTTTCTCAACTAATTATTTGCTTATCCATTGTGGTCTAATTAAATGGACCTGAGTACAACAAAACCTTAGAAAACCAGTGCACCAGTGTGTAATCAGGAACTCATATATTTTCAGGGGTATTTCATTAGAAATTAAATGCTGAAACCCCACATTTCTGAAAGAGAAAGAAACACACCATTGGTTTTATAACAGTTATCATGAATCCAACATTTTAGCTCTTGCTGATTTTCATAGCCTTCTGATTCTCCTGAGCAATAGTTGTTTTAAACAGAAGTGAGTTTCTTGGGGAAGCTTTTCTTCATCTCTGAAATCTGAATTTTCAGGGTCACCAGTTTCTAGAGGCTGTGCCAATGAAATATGATCTGTTGGGCAGCTGAAGAGAGGGAGCCGGAAATGCCCCTATCCTATAGCCTTACAGATGAATATCTTGCATACCCTCATAGAACCTTCATCTGGAGATCGATGGAGATAGAGACAGAGACCCACATTGAAGCACTGGACTGAGCTCCCAAGGTCCAAATGAAAAGCAGAAGGAGGGAGAATATGAGCAAGGAAGCCAGGACCACGAGGGGTATGCCCACCCACTGAGACGGTGAAGCAGATCTAATGGGAGCTCACCAAGGCCAGCTGGACTGGGACCGATGGACCATGTGATCAAACCAGACTCTCTAAACTTGGCAGACAAGGAGGGCTGACTGAGAAGCCAAGGACAATGGCACTGGGTTTTGATTCTACTGCATGAACTGGTTTTGTTTGAGCCTAGTCTGTTTGGATGCTCACCTTCCTAGAACTGGATGGAGAGGGGAGGACCTTGGACTTCCCACAGGGCAGGGAACCCTGACTGCTCTTTGGACTGGAGAGGGAGGGGGTGGGGGAGGGAAATTTGAGGTAGGGAGAAAGCGAAAATGTTTTGTTATAAATAAATAAATAAATAAAAACTCAAGAAACTTGGATGTCTTATTCTCTTGTGTCACAGAGATCATGTAACTTTGGGTCTGCAGGAACAACCCTTCAACCCTTTCATATGTTCCAACATATGGGTTCAATGATGAGATGGGCAAACTTAGACCTCAACTGCATCAGTAGGGAGAACAGGCCCTGCACCTTGCCTAGACAGTAGACTGGAGCTGACCCTGTTAGAGAGGAGGGAAAGTTTTCCTCACGAATGTGAACATGGGAGATCTGGCCCATCTCCACTGCCATATGATGGTATGTACAAGAAGAAGATGTACTCCCTTCCCCAAACCCTCACTACATGTGGCATGTAGGAAATCTGATCCTCAGATTAGAATTGCTGAGATGTCCAATCATCCCACTAGCTGCAGCACTCAGAAAGCAGTCTCGGCACCTCATCTAAGCAGCTCAGTAAATTTGACCTTATTGTTGATGGTACAGGTGAGCCAACCCTGATCTCACAAGTTTTGAAGATTCAGTGGCATTTCCCATCTATCCAGCAATATGGGAGGTGAAGAGATACCTCAACATGCCTCTTCTTAACCCTCGCTGTACATAGCATTCAGCAAAGCAGGTCTTGCACCTCAACAGGGCACCATAGTCAAGTCAAACCTACTGGTGATGAAACAGGGTAACCTATTTGTCTTATTTATACTGTTACAATATTTGTCAGCACTAAGGCAGATAACCATGACTGTACAAATATGTGTTACTCTTGCCCCCTGCTGGAGAGATAGTTATTGTTTCATAGCTACTATATCTTACAATGGGAATATATCAAGAAATATAATGTAGATCAGGAATAGCATAAGCCAAAAATTCATTTGACATATATATCCTGCTAAACAATCCAAGCCAAAATGTGTGTTAGAAACTTACATTGGTATACAGTAGGGCAAGATCATCTAGTATGAAGGCACTTAATAAAGCACTGTTCAATATTCCATGTTGAATATCCCATTATATATAGTACCCTGTAATTTACTGAAACACTGTGTCGTGGACTGTTGCCGCTTCTTGGCAACACGGATGGACCTTTGCAATTTGAAATAAGATTCTGTTGGACATTAAACTTTTAGAAATAATAAAGAAAACTTCTCTTGAATCATTTTATGTAGTCTCATAAATTGAAAACTGTGCATATGTGTTTGCAAATAAATGTGTGCCATCAAAATACAAAAAGTTAAATTTTGATCCAACATTTTCCTATTTCATGCAATAAAGAGTAGTACTGATTATGGCCAAATGTGGAACTACTAGAAAAATCACTATAAATAAATAACAATTGTGTTAATTTCTATAGATGAATAGATGTTGTCTTTTGACTTCTTGGCAACTTCACTAAAAGTAAAAAAGTAAGAATATGTGAAAAATTAACATTCAACTAGAAGATAATACAAGTCAGTTATCAGAATATAAAACAGCTTTATAACTATATCTATTGTTAAATATATCAGATACTCTCATATTAAATACACACCTGAAAAAATCTGTCTTTGTTGTCTTACTCTGTCCTTTAAATATAGATTTCTTTGAAAAAATTATAATGAGCAGGTGAACAAGTCCTAGAAGATAAGGGACCAAGTGAGGAGGAGTGGAAAGTGGATTTAAAGTCCCCTTAGTCTGTAAACTTCCAAAGAGAAAGTCTAAAATGTTTCTGGGTTATTCAATCTGAGTGACATGAGGGAGTTGAGTGTGCATATATCTGAAAACTGGTTTACACAGGACAACTGAAATCAAAATGATAGAATTTTGAGATATCTAAAGAACACTATTAAACATGTACGATGAAAGCTGAGCTAACTCATGGAACTGAGAAGACTCCTGACATTGGACAGCTTTGATAAAATTAGCTTGGCAGAGTACTGATGGAAGAATAGGAGGTTACTTAGGAGGAGAAGAAAGACACACTTATTCCATACAGTCATGTCTCAATAAGGATTTTAGGTTTGCTTCATGCTAATTTCAAGATCTTCAGGGCATCAGAGCGAGAGTATTTTGTAATCAATTTTAATAGTCAAAAATGAAATGCATGAATTTGACACTAATCATGAAAGAGGATATAAAGCTGTTTATTTTTCTAATTCTGTCATGAATATTTTGCATTTTGGTAATGGAAAAGCACATAAAATATATCTGAAAATATAAAATTGAATGTGAAGATCTATAGCTTCTATTCATACTGTTGAAAAGTTCATTTGGTTGTATTGACTCTATTTCTGGTTAATTTTTGTATGTTATATATTTATTTAGCTACAAATTTTATGATAAAGTTTATAGTTTCATATTTTCAAAATAAAAGCTTTTTGAATGAATATGTCTCCTTTAAATTTTTTGGAATATTACAGAAGATCAGTAATCATTGTTAATGTGAATATTGTAAGTCATGCCACATGGGGCTGCCATTTGTCAGGAACCACTTTTTGGGGTGACATTTGCTGGGCCACAAGCCACAGCAATTTTGTACATTTTAAGATAGGGGCAGGAGGATTAGAAACATTAGTTAGAAGGAAGAAAAATACGAAAGTTTCACAGAGACATAGGATGGTACTGGTAGGGAAACTCAGTGCCTCTTGCATACTGAATTCTTATTTCTGAGTAATTCACCTGTGTTTAATTTTCCACATACTTTTATACCACAATACAAAATGGGGAGAAAGGGAAAAGACTGCTTTAACGTGATACAAAGGACAACTAGAAAAATTATTTACTTCAATACTTTGATGCATCAACCCAGTAATTTTTGAGAAAAGTATTCTGTTGTTTAGGCAATAAACCTACCCTAGACTAAGTATCCTGAAGACAGCTACTCCCTATCACATACCACTTATATCACAAGAAGGAACAGAAGTATCCTTGAATTCTCTGACCATTGGCCAGGGTGGAATCGAAAACACCAAATAACCATACCCTATGTCAGTGTGTGTAGCCACAGTTGTTGTCATCAACTTTCAGTAACCTCAAACACTGACCTTCAGACAAAGTAGAATAGGCTCAGGTTTTTGGGCTTCCAAAGAATATACAAGAAGAGTAAAAGGTATTAATGAAAACAACAAAGCACTTACAAATTTCCACACTGATATTACTCTTTGACCCTCAGTAAAGATCACATTACCCAAAAGCAAATTGGTTCTACTTCTCTCTGTCTTGAAACCTGGGGGCTTTCACACTTATGCTGAGTCCCTTAGATGAGTTCAGGCAATCCTGTAGTTGGTCTCAATAATGTACACCCCTGCTGATTTGCATATGGCTTGAGCACACCCTCTGCTCTGAGAAGTTAATCACTAGCTGGTCACACCATGTTCAGAAGTCATTCTCAGTGAGGATACAGCATGAACACAAGGATGCTTTCTGAGTTCCTAGGGCTACTGCTGCTCTGGTTTTCAGGTAATAAAGACAGAAGAGAATTTTGTAACAGGTATTGTGAACACCACCTGGCTTTTTATGAAAGTTATGTTACAATATGGTTAACACTGCATCATTGTTTTGTTTCCAACCTCAGGTGTGAGTTGTAATATCCAGATGACACAATCTCCACTAACTGTGTCTGCATCTCTTGGGGACAGAGTCACCATCACTTGCCATGCCAGTCAGAACATTAATAATTGGTTAGTCTGGTACCAGCAGAAACCAGGGAATTCTCCTGTACTATTAATCTATAAGACATCCAACCTGCAAACAGGAATCCCATCAAGATTCAGTGGCAGTGGCTCTGGGACCGATTATACTCTCACTATCAACAACCTGCAACCTGAAGATGTTGCCACTTACTTCTGTATGCAGCATCAGAGCTGTTGCCACAGTGATACAAGTCATAACATAAACCTCTCAATGGTGCAGCAAGTTAAGACTGAGCTAGTACTAGCTGCTCCCCCTAGTGCCTGCTCCTGAGAATATTTTGTTTTCAGGTTTGCTGGGCTTTGGTGGTCATTGGGAGTACTGGGGAGAACTGTCAGTTGGGCCCCTCTGCTTCTAACTCTCCTCCTCTAATGTACAAGAGCACAGATATGATAAAGAGTCTCACATTTGCTTAAGAGATTTTTTTTTATATTTGAGCAATCCTAGCCATGCTATCTTTGCAATGCTTACAGTAAAATTGCCTTCCAAGGAACCTTCAAAAAGAATGGTTTTGATTTACAAAACTACTTTCTAGATAACTGTGCCTGCATGGTGTGTGCTTTTCTATGATTTGATGCTGTACCCTAAATACTGAAAGGGTATTTTCTGTTAATTTTTATCTTTCTCTGTTTTTATTAAGAGTTTCTCAGGAAAAAATACTCCTGAAATTTGAAGTAAAAGCAGAGGAATTTTACCATTCATCAGCATTTGTGGTAAGCATTATGAGGCAAGTATTGGTCCTTTCTTGTAATGTGTTTCAGTTTGTAGCATCAATACCACCTCCCATTGACTTCCCAGTGCCAAGATCACATGTTTAAACATTGTATCTCTTCTGCTAATGTAGATGCATGCTGAATGTTGGCATAGGACCAGTGTAAGGCAGGTTAACATGCAAGAATCTGGGCACATTGTAGTAAAACCATTTCTGGATGTGCAGAGAATGAGTGCATAAATAATCAAGATGCAACTGCTGGAGCAACAGAGACCAATTCTAATATATGCTTCACTGAATGGTTTATGTAATAACTTCTATCGTGGTCTGAGAGGATTCTGTAACATGAATGGCCGGGCCTGCTTGTTGTTTGGGTTTTTCTCCTGCCCAGTTTCCCCACAGCTGTTTAGCCCCAAAGAAAATAACACATAGGTCTTTGTAAGTTATAAAGCTGATTGGCCCATTAGCTCTAGCCTCTTACTGGCTAACTCTCACATCTTGATTAACCCATTTTTCTGATCTATGTTAGCCATGTGGCTCAGTACATTTTTCCAGTGGGGCAGGTCACATCCTGCTGCTTCGATGTCCTGGGCAGGATTGGGAGGAATCAACTTCTTTCTTCCCAGAATTCTCCTGTTAACATTACATCATTTCTGCTTCCTGTCTGGTTTTCCCGCTTGTATTTCCTGCCTGGCCAATCAGCGTTTATTTATAACATGATTGACAGAATACAGACAATTCTCCTGCACCAGGACTGTAATGATGTTAATGTTCCAACAATTTCAGGTTCCAGACTGTTGATGGATAAAATTTACCCAGAATATTGACTACTGTACCTTGATAGGATATCATATTGCAAATTGATTGCATGAAAGATCAAGAGCATAGGAACTTGTCCTGATTTCTGTTATTTCTGTTGATACCAGTTTAGGTAACTGATAATTCTCGGATTAGCTAAAAAACTTGCATTGACACTGTCTCCTATAAAGACTGACAGAAAGGATAGAGACTGAGTCACTTGAATGTCACATGTGGCATCTGACAGTAAAAAACATAAATAAATAAAAATAAAAACAAAATTAAGAATGCTATAGTAGTATTTTCCTATTTTGTAGGAAATTACTGACTACTCTTGTCTGAATAAATTTTCTATGCTGTTAAAATCACTTAAGAGATATAGAGAAATTTCAATGGCTTGAGCAGGGCTCTTCATTAACATACTGTGTTCTGACTTGGACTGATTTCTGCAGGCACTTTGAAAAGCCAGCTAAGAATCTATCATTTAAAGGGGATATTCTCTGGACACATGTAAATAAAAAAAAAAACTTATGAGACCTATGAACAGCTGCAACATTTCCTCAAATGAGTAAAACAGGAAGTCTCAATCTACAGAGATACTGTATCAGACCTGAGAGAAACAGACTTGGCCACTGGCAAAATGTTTTCCTCTGTGAACTACAGGATGCAATTAATACAGTGTCCTTTGCATATTATTTTCTCATTTCATGACTCATTTCATTCTGAAATATAAGATGGACATATGGGATGCAATATTTTAAAACTGCAAGAAATTTAAGTTGAGGCCCCATTATATTCTGAAGTTTCTGACGTTTCATGTGATAAATAATCAGGAACACAATGAACAGAGATATAACTTTGACAAATTAATTGACATTAACAAATGAAGGTCAGTATAGAAACATCCATTTATCTATCTATACACACATATAAACATACATATATATATATATATATAAACAAGTAAGTACAGAAATATTCTATGTTAAATACAGTGTAATGATGACATAAGTGATACTTGTTCTTTCTTTTAATGCCCTTTTTCTCATTTCCAATACAAGAAGCTTACTTTTTCTCTGCCTTTTGAAAGTTAATTGCTTGTATCTTTCTCTGAGAACATGAAAGAATTCCGAGATCAGTGTTTTTGAAACTCTTGAATGACTATTCATCATTCTTATACTTCTTACTGAAGCAGTTCTGCCTAGGAAGCAGAGGTGTTCTGCAGACTGAGTCCATACTTGAAATTGCTTTTCTACACAAACCTGTAAATTCCCACATCAGCATCTCTTCTAGTTTTCTTTCACAACTTGTTAGCTACTTTTTTTTAAACTTTTTTTTTATTGAGAAAAGAAAAAAAAAAACAAATTTCCTCCTCCTCCCAGCCTCCCATTTCCCTCCCCATCCTCCCACCCTTCTCCCCCTCCCCCCACTCCTCTCCTCCTCCCTCTCCAGCCCAAAGAGCAGTCAGATTTCCCTGCCCTGTGGTAAGTCCTAGGTCCTCCCCCCTCCGTGCATTTCTAGGAAGGTGAACATCCAGACTGGCTAGGCTCCCACAAAGCCAGCACATTACGTAGGTTCAAAACCCCGTGCCATTGTCCTTGGGTTCTCATCAGCCCTCATTGTTCGCCATGCTCAGAGAGTCCAGTTTTATCCCATGCTTTTTCCGTCACAGTTCAGCTGGCCTTGGTGAGCTCCCAATAGATCAGCTCCACTGTCTCAGTGGGTGGGTGCTCCCCTCGTGGTCCCGACTTCTTTGCTCATGTTCTCCCTCCTTCTGCTCCTCATAGGGACCTTGGGAGCTCAGTCCAGTGCTCCAGTGTGGGTCTCTGTCTCTGTCTCCATCCATCACCAGACGAAGGTTCTATGATGATATGCAAGATATTTGTCATTATTGCTCTAGGATAGGGTCAATTCAGGTTCCCATCCTCAGCTGCCCAAGGAACTAACTGGGGACCTCGGCTTGGGAATCTGGGAGCCACTCTAGGTTCAAGTCTCTTGCCAACCCTAAGGTGGCTCCCTTAACTAAGAACCGTGCTTCCGTGCTCCCCCATCCAACCTTCCTTCATCCCAATCCTCCCCCTTCCCCAAGCTCCCCCCATTCTCCCCCTCTCCCCACTCTCTCCCCATCTCCCCTTACCCCCATCCCACCCCACCCCCAAGATCTCAATTTTCTCCCCGGCAATTTTGTCTACTTCCAATAGCCAAGAGGGCAACTATATGCTTTTCCTTTGGTTCACCTTCTTACTTAGCTTCTTTGGGATCACCAAGTGTAGACTCCGTGACCCTTGTTTATGGCTAGAAACCAATTATGAGTGAGTACATCCCATGTTCATCTTTTTGGGTCTGGGATACCTCACTCAGGATAGTGTTTTTTATTTCCATCCATTTGCATGCAAAATTTGAGAAGTCATTGTTTTTTAACGCAGCATAGTACTCTAATGTGTAGATATTCCACACTTTCTTCATCCATTCTTCCATTGAAGGGCATCTAGGTTGTTTCCAGGTTCTGGCTATTACAAATAATACTGCTATGAACATAGTTGAACAAATGCTCTTGTCATGTGATAGGGCATCTCTTGGGTATATTCCCAGGAGTGGTATTGCTGGGTCCAGGGGTAAGTTGATCCCGAATTTCCTGAGAAACCGAAACACCGATTTCCAAAGATGTTGCACAAGATTGCATTCCCACCAGCAATGGATGAGTGTTCCCCTTCCTCCACAGCCTCTCCAGCAAAGGCTATCATTGGAGTTTTTTATTTTAGCCATTCTGACAGGTGTAAGATGATATCTCAAAGTTGTTTTGATTTGCATTTCCCTGATTGCTAAGGAGGTTGAGCATGACCTTAAGTGTCTTTTGGCCATTTGAACTTCCTCTGCTGAGAATTCTCTGTTCAGTTCAGTGCCCCATTTTTTAATTGGGTTAATTAGCATTTTAAAGTCTAGTTTCTTGAGTTCTCTATATATTTTGGAGATCAGACCTTTGTCTGTTGCAGGGTTGGTGAAGATCTTCTCCCAGTCAGTAGGTTGCCTATTTGTCTTGGTGACAGTGTCCTTTGCTTTACAGAAGCTTCTCAGTTTTAGTAGGTCCCATTTATTCAATGTTGCCCTTAAAGTCTGTGCTGTTGGGGTTACACATAGGAAGCGATCTCCTGTGCCCATCTCCTGAAGGGTACTTCCCACTTTCTCTTCTATCAGGTTCACTGTGTTCTGACTGATAGTGAGGTCTTTAATCCATTTGGACTTGAGTTTTGTGCATGGTGATAGATATGGGTCTATTTTCATTCTTCTACAGGTTGACATCCAGTTATGCCAGCACCATTTGTTAAAAATGCTTTCTTTCTTCCATTGTGTACTTTTGGCTCCTTTATCAAAAATGCGGTGTTCATAGGTTTGTGGGTTAAAATTCGGGTCTTCTATACGATTCCATTGGTCAACTTCTCTGTTTTTATGCCAGTACCACACTGTTTTCATCACTGTAGCTCTGTAATAGAGTTTGAAGTCAGGGATTGTAATGCCTCCAGACAATCCTTTATTGTATAGGATTGTTTTGGCTATCCTGGGTTTTTTTTTTCCATATAAAGTTGATTATTGTCCTCTCAAGATCTGTGAAGAATTTTGATGGGACCCTGATGGGGATTGCATTGAATCTATAAATTGCCTTTGGTAGAATTGCCATTTTTACTATGTTGATCCTCCCAATCCAAGAGCAAGGAAGGTCCTTCCATAGACCAGGACCAGATGGTTTCAATGCGGAATTCTACCA